TGCCAAAGTTTGTGCCTTTTGTTCTGGGGGTGAGGGGTGGGGTGGGAGGGTGGCAAAACTGCTGAGCAATATCCAACCAAATTTTTAACAGTATTTGCTAATAATCCTAAGAATTAGCTTTTTATTTTTTAAATTAGGTGCATATTTTTTTTTAGTGGCTTTCCGACCACACAATCCGCCCCTTGTAATAAGTGGTGTAGTCCAGGTTAACATAGATGTAAAATATGTTAAAAAATCACTGGGCTGCTTATTATGCAAATATGTGAATCAAAGATTTGTCTTTGTGGTGTGGAATTCATGTGGAACATGTAATTGCACTATTGTTAATTACTCTTTTTTTTTTTTTTTTTCTTTTTGTAGGGCAGAAAAACAAAGTGACACTGCCTCATTTGGTGTAAAACTTTGAAGTGTACCTGTGTGCCTTTTTTTTTTTTTTTTTTTTCTAAAACACTGAAAAAATTATACTAACTTATTTATGTTGTGCTTTTTTTGTTGTGGGTGTATGTACAGCTTCCCAAAGCAACATTTTTGTAAATATATATTTTCATTATTGTTTTTAAGATAAATAAACTGTTGCAAAACTGAGCCTAATAATCGATTTTATATCCTGTGTGTTTTTGTATTTTTTTTTTTCTTTCTCTCTTTTCTTTCAGCCTGCGGTTTGATTGATTAAAAGGCAACGCTGGTGTAATAGTAAATGCATGTGTTCGGTATTTTTGATTGCAAAGCACACAAACACTCCACCCTTAACAAACACACTTTAAAGTGATCCGCCCATTTAAACTGGCGGATGGGTCATAGGGATTATTAAGTCTTGAACAAAGGCCTAATAGAGATACAAGCATGTTATTAAAGAGGTGTAATGAGTTCTTTAGTGTAAGGACTGACAGCAGAGAAACGATCAGGATCTATGCGTAACATATCTGCACAAGTAAATAACTTAATGTCTGTTGTGCTCTACAGTGAGGTTTTAAAGGTCCACTATGTGCATTAAAATGTAAAACTAATTCGGCTAGGAGCTTATTTCTCCAGGAACCTGACTCACAAAGCATTTCTACAACAGCCCCCTTGTGTTTCCTACAGCTGTACATGTCATATTGGCTACAATAAAGTGATATAATGCGTGTGGTTGGCCTGAAATCCAGCACACCGTGTACATCCTGAGTGCAGGCATGGCACCAGAGTGCAGACTGTGACTGTGCTCGTCACAGCCCAGCTCTGCCTCCAAAGTTGAAAACAACAAGGGTACGTCCTGAGGAAAAAAAAAAAGTTTGTAGTTACTGGCATTCCCTGGCTCCAATCACAGCAGAGAGAGGAAAAGCAGACCACTTAGGAGCCAGCCAGTCACAGAGCAGTGGGAGGGAGCCCGGGACAGTACAGGCTGTTCTTTTCATAAAACACACACCACCCAATTAGTTTCATTGGCTGCCTCTTTCCTGTTGATACCAGCGTGTAGGAGTCAAATACAGAGTGAGTGAGAGAGAGAGCTATTCCTACAATATCTCATACTGGCTGGGACTGCAGTGAGCTCATGGCCTTTTTGTAAACTCTTAGAGAGGATTGCAACACTTTAACTCATTGATGTTCTCTGTTTTTGACATCACACATTTTTTCCTTCTGAACACAGGACATGTCAGATGACAGCATAATGTTAAAATGTATCGGCATGAACTTCAGAAGTGCAAATATGTCCGATCCATCTCATCCATCATTTTGTTTCTTATTACTTCCACTTTGAGGAATTTTTCAATCCTGTTTGTTTTTGTCTCTGTCTAAATCTGGTCCTTTTGCTTTGTTTTGGGCACTGCTAAGTAGATTTCAGTTAAATTTGGAGGAAACATTATATTTTCTGAGCTGATTTGGACACAATAGCGCCACCATGTGGCCTGTTATAAAGCCCTTGACATTTGCCTCATAACTGATCTGGGAAAGGTACAGGCACAAGTCTTTTTTTCTAGGAAATGTTCATTCAAGAAAGATTCTATATCCTCCTGAGACCTGAACTTTTGTTTGGTATGCGTTTTTAATTTCTCCTAGCTATTTGGGATCAGTAGGACCCGATGAGTATAAAAAACTAAACACTGTCAGCGATAATAAAGTCTGAGTGTTCTCAAACAAGACGATAATAAAGTCCTAATGTCTTCAAACGAGTGCTTCCTAATTAACAGTGTTTTGTCTTGTTATTGTTGCTAAAATTGGTCAAATTTGTTGCCATATCAAACTACAAACATTATTAATCATAAAGTTTCAACCATAAAATGTCATCAGGTTTTGGACCTTGTCCTCTTTTTGTGTCAGGATAAGCTTCAGACTGACTTGGCAGATCTTCTTTTTACATGGATTGGTGTATTGTGCTCTTACTACCGCTAGATGGCACAAGAAAGTGTCCACGATTGAGGACAAGAAGCCTGAGTTGAAAAGAATGAAGTATAAGGTCAAATAAACACAAAATGTGATGTCGTTATATAAGGACACTGGGTAACATAGTCGTTGCATTTTTATTTATTTTTTTTGCTAAACTATTTGTCACCATTAAAGGGAAATTTCGGTTTATTTCAACCCGTCTCCTATCGTCCTAAATTTGGTTCAAGTGACTAGTGACATACAGATAATAGTTAGCATGTTAGCCGTTAGCCTAGATACAGCCGTAGCGTCAGACCTGTTAAAACGTAAGTGAACGGGCATCCCTTCAAGTGCAAAGTTAGTCCACTAAACAAGCTTTTTCTCCACAAAGACCGCCTCACATCGTTAGGATAAATGTCAGAGAACATATAGAAAACGACATGTAAACGTGTTGTCTTACCTTACCGGTGTGGTGCCATGTTTGTTTATCCCTCTAGCTCTGCTTTCCAAAGTGCAGCCGAAATATATCTCGCCAGCTCTAGATAAAGCCCAGCTGGATAATAACGTTACTCCAGGTGGAGGTGTATAGTCCTCGGTCACATCCAGACCTTGAAAATAAGGCTGCAACCGCTCCCATTCCTTGCAATAGAGGCATTCCTCTTCTGTGGGCATTGGGGCACAGCATTCACAGGTACACCACCAATCTCCAGAGCTAAAGCCTTGTGGCAGCCTCTCCTCGTCCTCTAACGTTACCTGTTGCGCCTCTCTCTCTCCTCCTCCTCTGTTCAGGCGACCGTCCGGTTCTGCCTTCCAGCTGTTGCCGCTTGTTCAGGCACGCTATGAGATCTCTGCTTGTTCTCGCGATATTTCGGCCACGCTTTGGAAAGCAGAGCTACATTGTAAACAAACATGGCAGCACACCGGTAAGGTAAGACAACACGTTTACATGTCGTTTTCTATATGTTCTCTGACATTTATCCTAATGATATGAGGCAGTCTTTGTGGAGAAAAAGCTTGTTTAGTGGACTAACTTTGCACTTGAAGGGATGCCCGTTCACTTATGTTTTAACAGGTCTGACGCTACGGCTGTATCTAGGCTAATGGCTAACATGCTAACTATTATCTGTATGTCACTTGTCACTTGAACCAAATTTAGGACGATAGGAGACGGGTTGAAATAAACCGAAATTTCCCTTTAATCGATCATTCAAGACAGCCCAACACTGTCCAGAGCCTTCAGCATCTCAGGGCGAATCTCATCCACACCTGGCGCCTTGCCACTGGGGAGCCTTTTGACTTCCTTGGCGACTTCTGCCAGGGGTATGGACGAAAGTTCCCCTGAGTCTTCAGGCTCTGCCTCCTCCACAGAGGATGTGATGGCTGGGTTCAGGAGTTCCTCAAAGTACGCCTTCCACCACTTGACAGTGTCCCCAGTCTGGGTCAGTAGGTCTCCTCCCCAGCTGTACACAGCCAGAGACAAGCCCTGCTTTCCTTCCTGAGGCGTCTAATGGTCTGCCAGAACTTCCTTGAGGCCAATCAAAAGTCCTTCTCCATAGCCTCCCAGAACTCCTCCTACACCCATGTTTTTGCTTCGGCAACTGCCGTAGCTGCAGCCCCTCTGGCCAACCGATACCTGTCTGCTGCTGCAGGAGACCCCAGGGCTCAGAAAGGCCTCCCTCTTCAGCCTGACGGCCTCCCTCACCACCGGTGTCCACTAGCACGTTCACAGGTTGCTGCCACAACTGACACCGACAATGTTTTTGTTCAATTACATTTTATTCAACTTGTAACTGAACTTAAAGGAATAGTTTGACATTTTGGGAAAAAATGCTTAGTTACTTTTTTCTTGATTGGGCCGTAGATTTTCATAAAACTAGGTACTGGACGCCAAGATGACACCTATTTAATCCAGTGGAGTTGGAGTTCTAGCTTCCAGGTTTACTTCTGTGGTATACGGCCCACTGAATATGTGCAGTAGTGTTTCTCCTGCTGGCCCTGCCAACAAGTTCCTGCTGGGCTCATACACTTTACATTGTGACGATGTCAAATATTTTTAAAATCAGTTTTCTGGGCTCCAGGAAAGATTTACAAATTTAAAACCTCCATGGCT